GCCAGCTGGGTAGTAGGCCTTTCGTTCTCTTCCACACCTCTCTCTCTCTCTCTCTCTCTCTCTCCTGCCGCCAGCCAACCGACGTTCTCTCCACGTCAAATTATAATAACAGGTCCCCACCACCCACCACCACTCTCCCGCATCCTCGCATTTATCGATGTGGATATTTCCCCGTGATATTTCAAACCCGACCCGCCGGGCCTCCCCTGGCCGGCCACTTTTTGGCGGGAACCACCGCTTCCTCAGTCCCCACTCCCCACTCTCCACCATCTTCCCGCCAAAAAAATAAAAGATTTGTTGTTTTCTTCTTCAATTAAAGAAACAAGCTAATTAACGAAATAACACACATCTTAAATTTTTTAAAATTGCTCAATGCTCATGATTTCCCCGACACTTCCTATTTCATATCATTTGCTAAACACGGGTCAACTCCGAGAACCATCTAACCGTCAATATCCGTACGGCCAACAGCTTAACGGAGCCGTTAGGGGCAGGGGTGGATTAGTTGAGTGGAGCTGAGCTGGCAATCCACGGCACGGCCCACGTTGCAGGCCTGCCTGCCTGCCTGCCTGCAGGTAAAGAGCAATGATCGTGCAGCGCCGTTGACTGTCTAGGGAGTCGTGTGTAAGTGGTGGTTGGTTATAATATACCGGCCCTGTACTTTTTTTGTTATTTTTTTTTATTATGGAAAATTAGATGAAAATAACGGAGCCGTTATCTTTTGAAATTTGATGACGCGCTGCTCGACGGCGTCTGGACGGGCGGGAAAAGAGTAGCCACGTAGGCGGGTGAGTCGGTGGGCTGACCCGACCCGAGGGGGGACAAAAGCCGACCAGCCCCGGAGAGAGAGAGGAACGTGTTTTCTGACAGCCCAGCACGTGACGCTCACACTCCTCCTTCCTTTTTTTTTTTTTTTTTTGTTGTTTGGGAAACAATGGACTTGGATTAGTTCTGTGGGGCCGGCCCTTTGACAGGGCGTGGTTCGTGACACTGGCCCCTCCTAGAGTTGACATTTTGCCCTCTACGCTCAACACGTGGAGGAATATGAAGCAAACCGAATTCAAATCTATGTCGCCCAGCCCGCCCAATTAGAATCCGATAGCATGGATCCACCACGCCGGACAAAGCATAAATGCGACACCGTTTTGGTTTCTCGTTCACTCACCTCGGTTGCACGATTCTTCCATTGTAGAAAGGAGGCGGGAGGGGGTGATTGGACCAAATTGGGCGTGTGTGAAACCAGCTTTGATTGGAATCACGAGGGTAATTCTGGAAGAGAGGTTTTTGTTTGTTGGTTAGTATTGTAACAGTATCTTCTTGTTTTGTAAGTAACGATTTGGAATTATTATATTGTAAACAATTAGTCAGTTGGTTAGTTACAACTTGTAGGTGCATGTGGAGATCCAGATCGAATGATCAATGGCGGAGCCTCTGATTTTGGTTGACAAGAAGATAAAAAAAAAAAAAAAAAAAAGGAGAAGGGTGCGATAATTACAAGGGAGCCGGTCGGCCGGCCGGCGGTAAAAAAAAAGTGGACAGAGGAAAAGCCAGAAGCAGGCGGGGGGAACGGCGGTGTGGTTGTCACGTGCGGACGTCATTATTCAAGTCGCCATTAACCCAACTAATTTTTGGTCAAAAAAAAAAAACCCCAACTAATTATTTACCCCCTGGCTCCATCTAATGAATAATGGAAACATTCATCCTAACACTCAAATCACTTTTCTTTTTGGTAAAATCGTACCGTATGACAATAAAAATTGTATATCGAAGTTCAAATTTATATGATGATTTTCATGGTATTAAATACTTAAATGTTGGTTAAATCATAATTTCAACATGTACATGTAAAAATGATCTAAACTAAACATACCGCCCGCCTAATATCTGATCATCTCATTGAAGGACACGTGTGCTTATATTCTTCGTAACACAATTTGGACGGTGTGGAATTTCATTCGGTTGATGGTATCACTCTTTTAGATCGCTAGCTAGGTTTGGTAGAAATGAAAAGATGCTATTTTTACTTTCCAAGAAGGTATATTCCCCCTTTTCTACCTAGTTTAATTCTCTTTCCTCCCTTTTGTCTCGGTTCCAATTGACAACAGTTAATTCGTAAAGGATTAATTATTAAACTTAAGATGTAATCATTGTAAAAAAAAAAACTTAAGATGTAATCACTTTTTGTTTTTCTGTCACTCACATAACCTATGGGATTTTTTTTTTGGGTATGAAGACAAATGCCAATGATGTCTTAATTCGTATTAACTAAACGTTTATGGGTGATGCCCATTACATCAAAAGAAAGCCAGTGGTTAAGCCCCGAATCAGAAATATCAAAGCGATGGGCTCCAAAATGAAGGCCATGGCCTTTGTGAACTAAAAAATCAGCAGCGTTGTTGCGCTCCCTAAAAACATGGGAAATCTGTACATCCCAATCCAAAGCGAGAAGCCTGTTAACCTATGAGATTCTAGTTCGAGGTACATCTAATGATTTGCACAAATACGAGTGAGGTTTACTACACAATTATGGATTAAACATAACTACATATGCGTGTTTGAGGATTTTTCTTCTTTCAAGTAATGACAATAGATAAAATATTTAAAACTTTTAATCGGGATTGTTGGGATAAATAGTTTTGAAAAAGCTATAAATGAAATTACTAATTCCTTGCGTGTTACCAAAATCACATTAGTGGGAGGAAAGTATCAAATATTAATTATGATTGACAAAGTTTTCGGTTGTTGTAAATTATAAGATGGATAATATTCTTATCGTGTTTATATTAAGAATTTAAATAAATCGTATCCTCTCACTACACATTGCAAGTTAGTAATTTAGCTTAAATAAAAAAAATCGAAAATAATGAACACGATATGAAGAGTATAAACCATTTTTCTCGGGTAAATGACACATTTGGTCACTGAGATTACTAAATAGTGTCATATTTAGTCACTAGAAAAATTTAATATCAATTTTGGTCACTCGAATTATTGACACAGGTCACATTTGGTCACTCTTCTGTAGCCTCTGTCCAACTCCGGTCACTCGAATTATTGAAAAATGTCACATTTAGTCACTCGTATTACTGAAACATGTCACATTTAGTCACTCTCCCAAAAGTTTCCGTCCAACTACATTAATGGAGTTGGACTGAAACTGACGGGAGAGTGACTAAATTTGATCAGTTTCGGTAATTCGAGTGACCAAAATTGATATTAATTTTTTCTAGTGACTAAACATGACACAATTTAATAATCTCAGTGACCAAATGTGTCATTTACCCCATTTTTCTCCCTTTGTCTATGGTGGATTCTTAACTTTTTTACGGTCTTTATTTAATCTGTTCTTTTGCTCTTAGTTTTTCCCTTTTTGGAAGCTGAACTACATTATAGAATGGAGAGTAATAATTTGTCACTTCATAAACCAACACTCACTTTGAGACAAGTAAAAATCGCATCCATACAACAATTTTATCTTGTAGTGGAGAACTGAAAGCTATTTGTTTACCTATATTATTGCCTTGTATTCTTTGTTGATTAGTCACTTGTTCTCCCTTTAATTAAGTTAAACTTTGTTTCTTTTGGAGCAAAAAAACATGAAACAGAAATCACCGGTAATGATTCAATAAAGTTGAAGAGGAGGATAGACTTGTCTGGCATATGACGGGGGATGAGGTTTTCTCTGTGAAGTCAGCGTATCACCTGGCTGTTCTCAAGGATCAGCAAGTCGGGGATTGGCGCCCAACAGTTAGTTGGATGGACCGGGGAAGTTGGAAGTGGGTGTGAAATCTGGGGATTTCGCCCAAGTTGAAGGTGTTCTTATGGCAAGTGTTACATCGTTTCCTTCCCACTACAGAGACTCTTATCGGCAGGAAGGTGGTTGTTCATCCCTGATGCCCGGTTTGCTGGTCTGCTTCGGAAACGATTGAACACCTATTTTTAGGTTGTTGTGTGGCTCGAGCTTTGTGGGATTATGCTGGGTTATAGCATGTGGGCCAAGGGTTCACTACAAAACTTGTGAGTTTTGGAGACAAAAAATGTCGTCTCCAAAACATGGGTTATTCGTCTCCAAATCTTTTGGAGACGAAAATTGTCGTCCCCGTGGGTGGTGCCTATAGGTTCCGTCCTCTATTATTTTGGGAACAAAAAATGAAAGTCGTCTCTAATATTAGGGACACATAGCCGTCTCCAAAAATTTGAAAATTTTAATTAATTTATTATCATTTAAATATGATTTTAGGACAACATGTCGTCCCCTATGTAGTGTTTTTGGAGACCACACGTCATCTCGTATGAACTGTGTTAAAGACAGTAAGTAGTCTCCTATGAAGTATTTACGGAGACAACAAATCGCCCCCTATGAAGGGTTTTCGAGACATTATGTGTTGCCAAAAACAATCTTTGAGGACACTTGGTCATCCCTAATGCAATATTTTCGAGACGACAAATCGTTCCTGAATAACTTTCTTTCGAAACAACAAGCCATTATTTATGTATTTTTTCGAGACAGTTAGTTGTCTCTTGAGAACTACTTTCGGGATACAACAAGTCGATGTAGCTTGTGATTTTTTTATTGAAAGACGGAGATAGTATCTCAACTGTCATTCGTTTCTAGATTAAAAAATGTACTCTTACATAGATAAAGTACAATATGGGAAGTACATAAACTATACACATAATTACAAAGAATCACAAATTTGACAAATAGAAACACAACTACGACAACTAGCTAACAAGACGGGTAGACCTCCGGTGGCTAACCATCATTGCTTCACTTGCTCTTCGTAATTAACTATCCATCCACTCAATAGTTACTCAGGAAAAGGTGGTGCCAGGTCAGCAGTGTTAATAATCTAATTTACGAGCTAATGAAGGAATCCACCAACAAAGAGGAGAATTGGAAGGTGGAGTCGAACACACGCAAAGTCACCACGCCACCGGCCTTCCCAAAGAGCGAGCTAACGTGGCAGTCCGACCTGGACATTCCAACCACCTCGATTGGGCCATCAAGACGACACGTGGCGGGTACAGGCTGGCACTTGGACCCCACATCGCGACTCCGTTGCTTTACTATTCACGCCCTTTGTTTCCCCTCGCAACACAAGCCTATTTATTTAATTAATTATTCCAACAATTAATTAAGAAATTGAAAATACCTAATTACTACAGTATAATGAAGTAAATAAATAATTAATAAAATGGAAGGGGGACAGGGCAGGAAATATAAATAGTGGGCGGGGAAGGAAAGAGGTACCGGGTTGAGTCCAAGAACAAGAAGGCGTGCTTTGCGCTTCCAAAAACAGAGAAAAGAGAGTAAAAGAAAGAGAGAGAGAGAAAGGGAGCAAATTCCCCTAAACCAAGCAAAACCAGCCAGCCAGCTAACAATAAGAGTGAACAGAGGTTGAGTTTGGTGGGCGTGTTGTTGTTGTTTCCAGGGAGTGATTCTGGTTTCGCGGTGCAAGACGGCAAAAGAGGAGAAGGAGGAGTTTTCAGGCGATCTGCTAGTCCTAATTTGTCCGCTTTGATAAATCTTTCACAGAGGGAGAAGGTGTTTCGCTTTGCTCCGCAGCCTCTTCAGATTGTCTCTTCTTGTTCCTGTTCCTTCTGCCCCAGAAGGGATTCGGGTTTAAAAGGGAGAGGAAGAAGCAGAGTTTCTCAGCAAAAACAGCAGCAGAGTCTCAGAAGAAGGAAGTCCCAGAACAGAAGACAGAGTTTACAAGGCTCTGTTTGTCAAGTCTATAGATCAGCAAGGCGGTGGAGAAAACAGATAAAATGGAGTGGAGTGCTTGTGTAGATGAGTACGAGAAGCTTGTTATCAGGATGACTACTCCTAGGTTCGTCTCTCCTCTTCTTCTTTATCCTTCCTTCGTTTCCCCATCTTACTGGTTTTTTTTCCCCTTCGATTTCAAATTTGCTCTGTTTTCAAATTTCCGGGCCAAAATCGTGCTCTGGGTTAGCCTCCGCCTTCCGGTGACTTTTCTCGCCGAACCCACTTCAGCAATTAGCGCTGAGGTGGGCGGTGGATTTCCAATTCAATTTTTGACCTAGTCTCTGCTTTTCTTCCTTTTGCCCTGTTTTTCAAACTATTTTTCCTGCCAATTTTCTATTCCGGCCTCGTGGTTTCTGGAATTCCAACCAATTTTCTCTCTGTGTAAACGCGTCCCCTGATTTTCTTCCCTCTCTGACCTGACCCTTATTTTTCCCTTTTCCAATTTACAGGGTAGTCATCGACAATGCCGTTTGCCCAACTTCCACCGTCGTCAAGGTAATAATCATTCAAACCCACCCAGGGGAAAAAAGAACAGAGTTCCCCCTTCCCCTTAAGTATCGCTTCAAGCAAAAGAAATTGACTAATCGTACCATTCTTCTCACTTGCAGGTTGACAGTGCTAGGAAACATGGTATTTTACTCGAGGCAGTTCAGGTCCTCACGGATCTAAACCTCTCCATTAAGAAGGCTTACGTCTCCGCTGATGGAAGATGGTTCATGGATGGTGAGCCTACCTTTCCTTTCCTTTCCTTCTAAAACCCCTCTAATGGCGTACTTTTCATCCATTGTCAGTTAAAATCCGTTAATTAATTACCTTTCCCCTGATTTCGGATTCTTGGTTCGTTCCTCTTTCTCCTTGCAGTTTTCCATGTAACCGATCTCAATGGAAACAAGCTAACCGACGAGAGCGTCATTAACTACATCGAGCAGGTAATTAACAGTAATTAAATCGCGTTTTCAGGCACCCATCCATTTACTGATACTGTTAATTTGGGATTAGAATGATGGGATTCTAGAAGTGAGTTTCTGATAATTTTCCTCCCTCTTCGCTTGCGTTACAGTCTCTGGGCTCAGTTCACTACGGCCAACCCAACGATTTCAGCGGTTCGACCGCTCTGGAACTGACCGGAACCGACCGGATCGGACTGCTCTCTGAGGTCTTCGCTGTGTTATCCGACCTTCAATGCAGCGTCGCCGACGCCAAAGTCTGGACACACAACGGCAGGATTGCTTCCCTAATCCATGTGAAGGACTCCAACTCCGGTGCCCGGATTGAGGACGTTCAACTAATCTCTGTAATTGAGGCCAGGTTGAGGAACGTGTTGAAGGGCGACAACGACATCCGGAGTGCCAAGACCTCTGTTTCAATGGCAGTCACCCACACGGAGAGGAGGCTTCACCAGATGATGTTCGCGGATCGCGATTACGAGAGGAAGCCCATCTTGGAGAGCGTTCCAACGAACTCTCCCGCGTTGGTCACTGTCCAGAACTGGGTCGAGAGAGGGTACTCGGTGGTGAATGTTCAAGCCAAGGACCGTACTAAGCTATTGTTCGACGTGGTCTGCACATTGACTGACATGGGGTACATCGTGTTCCATGCCACTGTCAACACCATTGGAGACAGGGGATACTTGGTATGTTCTGTTCCAATTCTTGATCACAATAGAGTACATGAATGAAGTTCCATTGTTACATGTTCTGTTTAATTTGCTAATTAGTGGGATGGGGTTCTTGCTGGCAGGAATTTTACATTAGGCATCAAGATGGCACTCCAATTAGCTCGGAGGCCGAGAGGCAACGAGTGATCCTATGCCTCGAAGCTGCAGTCAAGAGAAGAGCGTCAGAGGGAGTGAGGCTCGAGCTGTCCACCTCGGACAGGCAAGGGCTTCTAGCCGATGTGACAAGGACATTTCGCGAGAACGGGTTGAATGTGACGAGAGCTGAGGTGTCGACGATGAAGGAGACAGCACAGAATGTGTTCTATGTTACAGATGTCATGGGGAAGCCGGCGGATGGGAAGATCATCGAGTCGGTAAGGGAGAAGATCGGGCTGAGTTACTTGCGGGTGAAGGAACTGCCCTCCTTGGTGTACCACAAGGAAGGTGGGGAGAGGGATGAGCAGGCGGTTGGTATGGCTGGGACTGTGTTGCTGTCGTTGGGAAGCATGGTGAGGAAGAATCTGTACAATTTGGGGTTGATTCGATCTTACTCATGAAGGATGTTGGTTACAAATTGGGGATGGTTATTCTTTGCTTGAGGTTTGTGATTTGTGGGTTTGTGTACATAATGAGAAAAGGGTTTGGGGCCAAGTGAGTGGGGAATTTGGTGATAGTAAGTAGCTGTAGTGGTTGTTATAGTTGGGGTATGGTTGGTTGAATAGATAAGAGAGAGGGGGAAGGGGGTGATCCACCATATTAAGAAGGCAATATATTCTTGTGATTCTTTAGAGAAAGAAGAAAAGGGAGGGTTTAGTTTGAAGGTGAAGATTTGATTTAAGATTGGGGGAAAAGGTGATTATGGGTGTCTTGTGAAGATGAAGAATTAGTATTATGGCTGGAAAAAGAAATTTAGGGTTTAGATTTGAAGAGATATGGCAGCTGCTTCTCTAGATTATTATATATTTGAATGAATAGAGAGAATCACACATTTGTACATAACGATCTTCTGTTGATATTTAATTAAGAGTTTTAATGAGAGTTGACTTGATTGTTTTCCTACACAACAACATTCTTATTCTTGCTTTCAATTGTTTTTCTGTACGATGGATGGAACTCTACAATGATATGGGATGGCATGTAATACGAAATAATTGGGGTTGACAAAGATTACATTCAAGCATGATGCTGAACTCCCTTAATTCAACGAATATTATTCTCATTTCTGATATATATGTTCATGATTAGGAGCGGTTGTAAAATAATGCTATAATCTGTAGTATTAATTAGTCAATCCAATTTCAGAGATTAAAAAAAAATATCTTTCACTAGTCATTATGTTTAAGTAGAGTTTAGATATCGACAAGTTGTTGAATCAGCTCCGCCATATTGATAAAATTCATATATAGAACTATCTTCCTAAACCCGAACTCATGCCAGTTTGAGAAGGATCATTCCCCCATCCCTTCTCTTTTAATAAGGGATGAAAGAGCCTTTGCTATATAATGTTCTCTAGATGCTGCTCCCCTTTGCTGTTTCCTTTCTTTTCTTGTCAATAAATGAAGTTGGAAAAAATTCACATGATCAAGTGAGCCTTTGATCCTGAGAAAAGAGAGGAAGGTGGGTCATGAATGATGGGTGGTAGATGCATAATGGTGGCAACAAGTAAGGAATAAGGGAATAATATTGTAAGCAAGAGGAAGGGTTTAGTAATGGAGTAGGTAAAAGTGTAGGTGAATCTGAAATTAATAGTGAAAATGACTTTTCTTCATTGTTTCTTTGCCTTTGCAAAGATTGCTGTCCAGATCATACACATCTATAGCTGGCTGGGATACTATTGTCTTGTGGGCGCATGCACCCAACAACATACAAACTACTTTAACCACACTGTGTGGACAATTGTACGAGTTGTTTGCTTCGCGAATGTGAAAAATGAAGATTTTAGTAAAATCTGAGTTTTGATAAATCATAGATGTAGGGGGTTTTGTGTTTATTATGAATTTAAAAAATATAATTGTTTGTTTTATAGATTTTATGATAGATTTTGTGTTAATTAGATTTGTATGTATGAAATGAAATTTATTTTTATTGTCTTCTGTGGTATATGAAGAGAAAGAAAATAGGAGGGATAAGTTGATACAAATGATGGACTTCAAAATTCATGATTAATTCGCAACTAAAGGAGTGAGATATTCAAGTCCGCGAGGCCACAAATTTGGACCATCTAAATTCGTGGATCTCACAGATTTGTTGCCAATAGATACATGAAGCAAACAATAAAATTTGTAAAAAGTTCACGATAAATCCAAATCTATCGTCAAATCCATCACCAAAACAAACCCGTAATTCCATGTCCATATTTTTGGTCCTTAGTAGGCTACTTTCCCATAAAATTTCTGGATTTCCCCCATGGATTCGCGATTTGCATAACCAAGAGAATGGAAAAAAATACCACCATTGGCGATTTGGTGTCTTGGTAATATTGTACTATATGGTCTAAAAAATATCAATTGTGAGCTTAGAGTTTCAACTTGATTGGTTTCGAGGATAATGTGTCAAACATGGATCTTTTAATCTCATTCCTCTTTACTTTTTGAAAGTATTGCTGGAAGAGGTAGCCATCCAAATAATCACCATTACCAAAAAAAAATAAAAAATTATTAATTAAAGTAGCCATCTCATTTTAATATCCCAACGATTTTGTTTCTAAATTTAGATTGATTGACTAAACAACGGGAAACAACCAACTCACTCATCTCTGTTCAAGTTTCCCATCCAAATCTAAATAAACGTAAGGCAATTGTGTAAGTATGACTATCTCAAATCCTTCACTTAACATAAAACTAGTAAAGTATACAATAGCTCATTCAAGTTAATATCTAAAAAAGTATGAGTCTGATGGAACGATCCAAACCAAAAAAGTTGTAATTGAATATACGTGTAAAGGAGCAAAGTTTCAGTAGATGTTCGAGACCAGATCCAATTCAAAACCTAGAAATGAAGCTAAAAAGCTAATCTATTAATCAGCTAAAGAAGGTTACAGATCGCTGTCCTGAAAGTATAGTCAAATTAAGCAGCCAGAAAAGGATGCAAATGTGAGTACAAAGCGACAAGAAAGTAAAGACGGACGGCAACTACTTGTTTCTGTGTCCCTCTTCCTCGAGGTGGTAGGGCAAAGCATATGCACAACACAACACCGCGCAGGAAACAAATCAAACTTCCATTGCCATCACAAAATTGATCCTCAGCAAAACCATATCCCTTCCTGCTTTGTCATCGAAAACGACTGGATTGTCAAGAACCAGTTGATTCCAATAACTTGAATTATTGATAGAAGATTAATTTTGGATTTTATACACTTTTTGTCAATTTTTGGGGTGATGGAAATTTGAACACACGACCACTTGGTCAAACCAGCTCTTATATCATGTCAAGAATATGCTAATCCCAATAACTCGAGTTGTTGAGAGAACGTTAATGATGGACCTTTTGAAATTTACGTTTCATCGGCTAACCGTTCAATCGATTTTAGCGTTTTATGGATGAAAAATCTAATACAAGGATAAGTTTGACAACATAACTATTATAGAGGTATATATATGGTAAAGCAACATATTCAGACAGAGAAAAAAACTCAATCAAAGTGACAAATTGGGTTAGAAACTAATAAGTTTAGTGGTCATGAAAAAACATAATAAGAACTCATCAATTGGTTCATTGTCCCAAATGCACAAAGTCAACTGTGGGTCACTAATTTGTTGCCATAAATTCATAAGCCGCAAACACAAAGAACAAAACCGACAACAACAATTTCCCTTAGCACATGTAGATGGAATTTCGATGTGCATGTAACTAGTCCATTTCCCTCTTGCTTATACATCACATAATACATCTACATTATTATTATTATCTTACAAGGAGAAAAAGCTGGCATTCTTCTCGGTTTTGGTGGCACCCAACTAAGCCAGTTAAGAGCACTTCTCGTGGTCCAGCATGCATGAATTCTCTTGGATAGATGGATGAATATATATATATATAACACAAGAAATGCTGAAATACAACTAATCCGGCCGAAAGAAAGACGCTTTTTTCACTCCAAACCAAACATTCTGTTTCTAAGCGTGTTCTGTTGTGTAGCATCGGGGTTGGAGTACTTCTGCAGCTGGCGCGGCTTGTGGCTCATGAGACGAAGTGGCTCTATCTCCAACGTAACAGCCAAACTGGATTTGGGTGGTGGTTGTTAATTAGCCAGCAGTGCGGGTTTTCCTATTAATAAAGACCAGACCACGTACGTTTGACTGACTGCATGCGACGTACCGGTAACTGCGCCGCTCGAGCCGGGTAGACCTGTTAATTTTTGATTGCTTTTACTGACAATTCCAGTTCATGAATGGTTCTTTTATTTTTTTTCCAACTCACCAGGCCGATCTTTCCAAGGCAGTCACGTGATGTGGAGCCAGCCAATATTATTGGCAACAAACACATAGTGATAAAACAGCCGGCATTGGAAAGAAGGAAGGGAAAAAAGCCAGTACTTGGCCTTTGTTTTTATAGTGTGGTAATGTCTGTGAATATTGCACACTAATTTATCGATCTTAGCTTAGCCAAAAGGTCGAGAAAAGTATGTACGTGAGTATATCTTGAATTGTGGTCACTACACCAGAGCTACGTACTCTTTACCTATGAATTAAAAATTGTTTTGAGATTAATTCATGAATCATGGTTTATTCCAAGAGCAGACGAGCTAAGGAGCTAGCTAGCATCTTCACAGCTTGCAATTGCAAATGGAACTGCAAGTGTCTAGTTTCTATCACCCATGCAGTTTGTACCTACATGGACTACTATTTCGAGATCAATCAAATTTACCACATCAAAGTTGTTATCTTATCCTTAGTGGGGTTGTTAATGAGCCGAGCCGAGCCAAGCGGAGACGAACTTTCCATAGCTCGGGTTCGGCTCGTTAATATATTTCTAGGCTCGAGCTCGGCTCGTTTATGGAAATGAAAGGTCGAGCTCGAGGGCGGCTCGCCAAATAAGCCTAACGAGCCCAAAAGCGAGTTCAACACGTAAAATGTTCATTATAGCTCAAGATTGAGCTAGAACTGAGCACCAAATTACATTCAACCCTGCAGCAAAATCTAGCCAACCAAAACACAATATTTATCCCAATTTCAATATTTATCCCAATCAAGTGTCGAACGAGTTTTTCTCGAATCGGACGCCGAGTCGTTCATTATAGCGGCTTGATTCATTAACAACCCTGGTCCTTAGTACCGCTAGTCGACTTCGTCCATATTAATTTGTCAAATTTATATATAAAAAATTGACATTTAAATTTGCAGTTCATTATTTTAGGTGCCATACAAAATGTCATGACGGGTCAGAAGAGAAATTCTAAAGTTTAAAAATCATCTAAACCCTAACCAGTAACTAGTCGGACACTGACTTCAACCTTTATCCACATCTATTAAAGGAAGCTAATAACACAAAACAGGACACACAAATCAATAGAAAATAGATTATTTGAGAAGAGAATCTTTTGCAGAAAGTAAGTATATATACAAATTCAAACAAGCGGATGAGAATGTGATCACAGAAATTAAAGCAATACTTCTATCTTTATGCTAAAGTGGCTCGATCACAATTCACAATATCCCCCTAGCTAGCTCCATATGGGGAGGTGGGAAAGATCAAAAGGAAAAAGATAGAGGTGAAAGATTCACGACAATTAAGCTCCACTTGCACAAAGAACCGCCGTATGTGGAATATGATTATCCTATGGTCATGGAGAGTAATTAACAAATTTTACATATTTAGAATCGACCAATTAAGCATAATTATTTGGTAGGCATGGCATAAGAAATTGCAGAATTTGTTCTTTTCACATGTGATTTAGCTAGCCAGTCTTGTTCTCTACCGCGAACTGTTGCCAGCTAGCTAGGTAAGATTAGATCAACTTTTTTTTTTAAACATATAATTACCCATCTTTGGAGACAAGGGACGAAACGACCTCACGATCTACTTATTGCAACCCAGGAATAAAAAC